AAGTATATAATGGTAAATTTTCATTTTTTTAATTTAAATACATAAATATTATTTTCTTTTTATTAAGATTATTATTATGTTATCTTCATTCTCTAATAAATCTTTAAAAAAAAAAGTAAACAAAATTATAAAATTTTATATTATCTTTTGAAAAAAAAAATTTACTTTTAATTTAAAAATCTGAAAAGTTTGTATTTTTAAACTGATTAATAATAAAATTATCATCTTTATTTATCCATTATCTTATCAAAATGATGGGATTTTCATATTTGAAAATTAAAAATTGTAAATTCCATAGTTACCGCGAATACATGTTAGGGAGGCAGCAGCAAGGTAAAAAAATTCTGTTAGAGATGATGTGGTAAGGTGGGTCCCACAAGATAAGGTGGAAAAAAAATATTAAAAAAGGCCTAACTGGTGTTATCTCACACTTAACAGTCAATATCGTCACATTTAACAGTCAATAAAGAGCACCGTACCTTACAGTGGATGGAGGGATGACATTGGCATTCTTTTGCATTATGGAGGGACGATAGGTGGAGTTAATTGATAGTAGAGGGACAACATGAAGCCAATCCATAGTAGAAGGTTTAGAATGCACTATTTTGGATAGTAGAGGGACGATAGATGACCTTAACCCGAGAAAGAATTATGGGAAACAGGCTGTGCAAATGAAGTTGCTCAGCAATTTGTGAACAAGGTTTTGAAAACCGGATCGGACCGGTCGGTCGACCGATTGAACCGATATCCGGTAGTATAAACGGTTCGATTTCATCTTTTAAACCGTTTGAAGATCAAACCATTTGAAAACCGATAAAAACCGTTGGAACTGCTCAAACCAAAAAACTATTCGACCGGATAGTTCAATACTTGAGAACAAAAGCTTGAGAAATTTGTCCCCCTTGAAGCTTGAACTTACAACCTTGAAGCCCTTTTAGTTTATTCCAACCTTTTGCCATCAGGACAATGCACTCCATTTGTCAACGGATGCTTGAAATTTTATTTAGTCTATTTTTAAAACCATAATTATTTAAAATTTGTTCATAAGAGTACTCGAACCTGTGATATTTGATATGAGAAAACAATCACCTACCATCGCACTCAATGGACATCTTGGGAAATACTTTACAAAATAATATATTTATACTATATGAAAGAACCGGTGGTTTTATCGGTTAAATCGATTAAACCGATCAAATCATGAACCAGAGGTCAAAACGGTTTGACCTCCGGTTCGGGTTTAAAAACATTGTTTGTGAAGGAGACGTTTTTTTTTTTTTTTTTTGAGAAAAAGGTAATTAGCAATGCATTAAGAAAACTGTCATACGGCATCTACATCCAAACCTTAACCAAAAGAATAAGAGTAACAGACAAAGAAAAGAGCAAACTGGAGAAGCAAAGCAGAGTAGACCTGATGCATAGGAGGAAGGGAGGTAAAGTCACTCGAGCAACCTGTGGTCGACCGATCCAGCCATGGGACACCCTTCAATCTACTCCGGAGAGGATGGCACCAAATCTCCAGAACGTCGCAGCAGAGATCCAGGCCGGCGGTGGCTAGATTTGGAAAATCAGCGAGCACCTACCAATATCTGCAGGATAGAGCCGAGGGTCGCCTGATCTGAAAAACATAAACTATACAAGAACATAAGTAAAACAAAACAACCCAAAAAACAGGAAAACCAAAAGGGGTCACTGGAAAGGAACCCAAAAGCCGACAGACCCGAAAGGGTCATCGAAGGAGGGAGCACAGGGCGGCTCCAGCATGCATGAGCGGCTGGGAAGCCCGACGGCTCAAGCATCAAAACCTCAGAAGTTCAAAGGCTTCCGAGCAAAAACAACACAGCGCCGGAGAAGGGAGGCAAAAGCAGGAGAGAAGGGAGAGAAGGGAGAGAAAAGGGTCACTACAAAAAAATTCACATTTGATGACTAAATTATTGATAATTAAATCTTTATTTTTCGTCACAAATTATTATTAGTGATAAAATTTAAATCGTTAGTAAAACCCTTGTCACTAATGCTCTTAATGACAAATTAGGCACCTGTCACAGAAAATAATTTTATAGTGATAAAAAAAATTGACATTGTTAACAAGTTATTCATAACAATTTTATT